TTTTATTTATTTATTTGAGAGAGAGAGACTGAGAGAGAGAGAGCATGAGAGGGGGAGGGTCGGGAGGGTCAGAGGGAGAAGCAGACTCCCCGCTCAGCAGGGAGCCCGATGTGGGACTCGATCCAGGGACTCCAGGATCATGACCCGAGCCGAAGGCAGTCGCTTAACCAACTGAGCCACCCAGGCGCCCTACTCTGTCCATTTTTTAATTGAAATTTTTTTGGTGTTAAATTGTGGAAGTTCTTTATATATTTTGGATATTAACCCCTTATCAGATACATCATTTACAAATAGCTTCTCCCATTCAGTAAATTGCTTTTTGTTTGGTTGAGGGTTTCCTTCACTGTGGAAAAATAATGGCTAGAAATCAACATTTTCTTTCCTACCATGAATTATTTCTTGACCCCAGTAGTTGATAATTTCTAATATTGTCATTTGGAATCCTTATAACTACTATTAATTATTTTAATTTACATATTGGTATGCATTTTCAGAGCCCTGAAGATAATGGGCATGTGTTACAGTTTCCTTTTCTTTTTTTTTTTTTAAAAAAACCCCCCAGTTTTGGAGGTCAAATAAATTAGACAACAATTTGCTTGTAGGCATTATCCTTTTCCAGGCTGTTGAGCATTCTTTATTAAATGCAGACCAGAGGATAGATACTCAGGAGGCTGGTAGCTGCAGCTTTTTTTTTTTTTTTAAAGATTTTATTTATTTATTTGACAGAGGGAGACACAGGGAGAGAGGAAACGCAAGCAGGGGGAGTGGGAGAGGGAGAAGCAGGCTTCCTGCTGAGCAGGGAGCCTGATGCGGGGCTTGATCCCAGGACCCTGAGATCATGACCTGAGCTGAAGGCAGGCGCTTAACGACTGAGCCACCTAGGCTCCCCTGGTAGCTGCAGCTTAAAAGGCTTTTTAAACCCCAGGTCTTCTATTTTACACGTTGTAGTGTGTCTCCGGCTTTTTGTTTTGTCTTTGAGGCTCTGCTTTACGGGATGAAGCCTCGAGACTGGGTGTCCCAGTAGCTGTGCTGTCCAGCCGGGCAGTGGCCTCCAGCTTTGTGCAGATCTGTGCGTCCAGTGGCGAGCCCTCCCACAGGGTGCTGCTGAATGCAGAGCAAAGGGTAAGACGCAGGCCATGAGCTAATGGTGGTTACTCATTACTTTTAAGCTATTTAGGAAAATAGGACATTTCTTTAATATTGTTTCAGGTATTTGCTTTTTTTTTTTTTTTTAAGATTTAATCTCTCTTTTCAGAAGAAAATGTCTTCTTTATTGGAGGTGGCTCAGTATTTATTAGCCCATAGTATGTTCTCTCGTTTCTCCTTCTGTCAAGAACTATGGGAAGTACGGGTAAGTTTGACATTGCAACTTTGACTCTTGGGGTTTCTCAAGCAGTGTTCTGTTGCGCGGAGACAGCAGAGTCCCAGCATGTTCTTTAGGGATTCCACCAAGCATCTCATTAATCATGGGGCAGGGAGAGAACCATTCAGCATATGCCCTGTGGGTGGGAAAGAGGTATCTTCAATTTCCATATTTGTCAGTATTCACCCATTATTAGTAATATTTATTAGAATGGACCACAGAAACATGTTCTCTCTTCTTAGGTATAATTATGAACAATTTTCCAGGGTAGTATAATAAACTAGAAAATTATAATTTAAAAATTATTTTTCTTCTTTTTTGAAAATTTTTTTTTTTTTTAAGATTTTATTTATTTATTTGACAGAGAGAGACACAGCGAGGGAGGGAACACAAGCAGGGGGAGTGGGAGAGGGAGAAGCAGGCTTCCCGCCGAGCAGGGAGCCCGATACGATGCGGGGCTCGATCCCAGGACCCTGGGATCATGACCTGAGTCAACGGCAGATGCTTAACGACTGAGCCTCCCAGGCGCCCCTTTTTTGAGGCATTTTGAATTCAGTAGGTTTGCAGATTTTTGAATAGTTGAAAGAACTCAAGGTAACTGGTTATTAGATTGTTATTAGTAAGAATATAGAAAAGGGATAGAAAAAACCCAGGTGATGGTGCATTCGTGGGTTCCCCCCATTCTTTTATCCGGCATACGTTACATACGTGTCTACAGATGTGTCAGCACTTGATGGGGTCCCTGTGCTCACAGCTGTCTAGCTGGAGGGAGGGGCAGCCGAATGCCCGTGAGCTGTGGTGGAGAGTGGACAGCTGCGTGACTGGTGGCTAGGAAAGGCTCGGAGAGCTGGCAGCTGCGTGCAGTGTGGAGGAGGGCAGGACAAAGTAGGCTGTGGGACAGAGGAGCCATGAGCAGGATGTCCTGGGGGCAGGAAGAAGGCTGTCTGCTGCAGGAGGGGGGACCTCGCTGGGATAGGAGACAGAAACCGGGTTACAACTGTCCTGTGCTGCGTCCAAGAGTCTCAAGTTTGCTCTGAAAGCTGCGAAGAGCCACTAAAGGGTCCAAAGAAGAGAAGAGATTGACATGTCCAGTCCCTATTTTGGAATATCGTATTGGCCACAGTGGAGAAAGTCCTAGAAGCAGGTTACACTAGAGGCTGGGCAGGGTGCTGGGGCATGAGGAGATGAAGGGTGGTAATGGTGAGTGTCTGAAGCCAAAGGGATCAACGATGTGTTGGAAGCCGTGCCTGTTACTCCGGTAATTTCGTAGGAAAATGTGTGCACGGAGGACTCATAGCACTCTTATTTTCTTCAGAGTTCTTTGTTGCTTGAAGCTGTGTGGCATCTTCATGTACAAAACCTTGTGAGCCTCCAGGAGCTGTTGGAAAGGTAGTGTACCAATGATGCTTTAACATAATCTTAGTATTATAGGATTTATTTTTTGTAATCTAGCCTTTATGACTTATATATCAAAGCCAAAATCACTGAAACTCTTACTTCATTATTTAAAGAGAACATTTGTTATAATCAAAGTCTTTGTCATGCACAAACTTGGTAATGTTTTCTTTGTATAAGATATATCATGGGAGGGGCGCTTGGGGGCTCAGTCGGTGAAGCGTCTGCCTTCAGCTCAGGTCATGATCTCGGGGTCCTGAGATCAAGCCCCGCATTGGGCTCCCTACTCAGGAGTCTGCTTCTCCCCTTGCTTGTGCTCTCTCTCTGTCAAATAAATAAACAAAATCTTAAAAAAAAAAAAAAAGATATATCAGGGGATAGATTTTTTTTTTTAAGATTTTATTTTTAAGTAATGTCTATACCCAGCTCGGGACTTAAACTCACAACCCTGAGATCAAGAGTCACACGCTCTACTACCTAAGCCAGCCAGGTGCTCTTGTAATAAAATATTTTAAAAAATTAGGTGCCTGGGTGGCTCAGTGGGTGGCTGAGTGACTTTATATAAAGATAACCCCCTAAAGAGGGCAAGTGTAGGAGAAGAGCTAGGAGAAGCAAAGGTTTGGAAGCAGAAGGCAGATAGATCTGTGGTAAACGACTTAGGAAACCTGAGATAGACTTGCCCTAAGCCAGCAGGTGCGGCTGCTCACTCTGTTTCTGGAAGACCACAGGATGGGAGTGCCGAGCACTTCTAATGGAAGGTGAAGGAGAGGGACTCAGTATGTCTGAAAGCACATAGAAGAGGCGTTTGGAGCTTTGCCTGCCGCACTCTCGGCAGCCAGGCATTGCTCCTTCCCCAGCCAGACAGAAAGCCGGGATTTGTATATTTGTCATCTGGTCAGGAACAACTGAGTGTCTAGTTTGGGGAACCCTGAAGCACAGTTGAAAAGGCTGTGTTGAAACCAGTGGCGTTGTGAGGTGTGGGTCACATCTGGATTTGAAAAGTTGGATCTTCACCTTATAGCAAAACAAGTCTAGGTGAATCAAAGGGGGAAAAAATGAAATTATGAAAGTACTAGAAGAAATCGTGGAAGATGTTTCTATAATCTTGGAGAGGGAAAGGCCTAACTATGATAAAAGCCCCAGGACTTAGAGAAGATTGACAAATCTAACTATGAAAAACGTATTTCCTGACCTATGCACTCACTAGGCATAGGGGGGTTACAAAAGGCATCCAGATTGGAATGGAAAAAGTAAAACTATTCACAGAGGACATCATCTTGCATATTGAATACCCTAAGGAACCCACACTGAAAGATATTAGAGCTAATTAGCAAGTTTAGCAAGGTTGCAGGAAACAACCTCAATATGCAAAAGTCAGTGGTGTTTTTATACAATAACAACAATCTGAAAAGGAAGTTAAAATTTCATTTGGGGCACTTGGCTGGCTCCGTCCGAAGAGCCTGTGACTCTTGATCTCGGGGTCATGAGTTCGAGCCCCAACTTGGGTATAGAGATGATTTACATAAACCAAACTTTAAAAAAAAAATTTCATTTAAAAGAACATTGAGGGCGCCTGGGTGGCTCAGTTGGTTGGGCGACTGCCTTCGGCTAAGGTCATGATCCTGGAGTCCCTGGATCGAGTCCCGCATCAGGCTCCCTGCTCAGCAGGGAGTCTGCTTCTCCCTCTGACCCTCCCCCCTC